CCGCTTCACCTAAGCTCGTCGTCAATGAAGTAGCCGTGATGCTTCTCAAAGGCCTCGATGGCGGTTGGGTTCTTGACCTGCGGAAAAAGCGCGCAAGCTGTTGGATGATGTCGAACACTCAATCAATCATGCACGACACTTGGGCCACACCCACAGATACACGCATTGCGAGCGAATCCCAAAGGTTTCTCCTAGGCCTTGTAGATTGCAAACCAATTCTGAAAAAAGGTTTGGATCCTCTGTGTAATGCGTGGGTGCCTCGAGATTGCTCTTCTCAAAGAAACGCAACATCCTTTCAAGTTCTTGCGTTTCCTCGTCAGGGTGCGACCGAAGCCAGCCGGATGGACTTAGAACGAGCTCGTTTGAGCGACGAGGTGCATTGAAAATGTTTGAATGGCGGCCGGCATGTCTCGCTCGACTCCTCTGTTGCTTTTTGGGGTCGAGCCCATTTGGCCTTCAGAGGTCTTGGAGGGAGGCGGGGCGGAGAAAAGGCTTTGAATTGTTCACATCGACTTTCGATGGGTCCAAAAGGAAAGTTCGCGGAAAACACAGATGTTTCAAGTAATAAGGGTACATACACAAGTATTATCAGGTTTTTCAGAGTGAAAACCAACAAAAACGTGTACAGACTTACATATTTTCAAAAAGGGTTAAATGGGTTTCCGTTCAAAAGTGTACAGATGTGCTCATTATATCAATCCGTGTTGTCGGCTCACCTTCACGTGGTCAGGGTGATATTGAAGACTCCAGGTCCGATGATCGATCTTGAGCCCGCCTGCGATGCCCGCAAAGAGGTCCGCCAAGCCGTCAGCACGAACCGGGCTCTTGCTCAGGAGCCAGGAGATGGGGGGAGGCAGATAGGCGGGCGGCGGGAGGGGTGCTGGATACGGCAGAATTTCCGCCGCCTGCAGCCGCAGCTCCTTCGAATGCCTCGCACGAAATGTTGCCAGCTTCCCCTTTGCAGTGCGGCGGTAGTTTGCGACATACGTCTCGTTGTGGCTCGCCTTCAACGACTTGGCTCCCTGCTCGTCGAGCCCAAAAAATCTCGAGACCGTTCGTCGGCTCGGCAGGCTTGGCTCCTGCACGGCCATCCGCCTGCGATGCATCTCGAGCCCTTGCTTTGAAGCGTATTCCTTCTCGCAGCTCGTTGCATCGGGAGGATGCACTAGCAGGCACGCAAAAATTCTCCCATCAGCTCGTACCTCCCATTCGGGCGCTCCGTCCGTGCGGTCGTTCTGCCTCTCCATCCTTGGCTCTTTCTGTACATGCATCATTTCCCTAAGTTGCTAACAGAATAGACCAGGCCCTTTTGCCCCTTGATTTCGAAAGAGCAAGGAGGCAGGCGGGCAGAGCTGCTACTACATCATATCGTATGCCCACAGTTTGCAATCTTTCAGAGGGATCCCCTCAAGAATCCTCGCAACCAGGCGGAAATGGATTTCGTCTTTCATTTCACTCGGTTGGGCACAGGCGATGCGTCAGATGGGTGCACTTCGCTTACGAAATTTCTCGACTGAGAGCCAACCTCGCCATCCTTGAGCCCTTTTGACCACATATCGACCCGATCCGAAGGCGGTGCCGCTATTTACGAATCGGCTCGAGGGGGGTCCGAGAGGAATAATGCAAAAGGCTGTACTTAGACACCCACGCATTACACAGAAGATCCAAACCTTTTTTCAGAATTGGATTGCAATCTACTAGGCCTAGGAGAAACCTTTGGGGTTCGCTCGCAATGCGTGTATCTGTGGGTCCTCAGGTCCGCCCCCAATCTGCCCATCCAGCGAGATGCACCGGCTCATGTCCCCTGTTGGGCGGCGTGAGTGCATGAGTGAGGGCCAAAAAGAGCTCGAATCCTCGCAGCTCGGTCGTCGAACCCACCCTTTCGTCGCAGTGGCAGAGTGCCGACAACAAGTTTTTGCAGGAAGTTCCGGCTCAAAAATCCTCCTCAATTATTGCAGACAAGAGAGACAAGAGAGACACCTTTTTTGACAAGGGTCCGGCTCAGAAACCCTGCCAATCATTGGGGACAGCAGAGACCGGAGAGACATGTTTTTGGGAGCAAGGTCCGGCTCAGAAGTCCTGGCCAATCCTTGGGGACAGCAGAGACGAGAAAGACATGTCACAAGTTTACAAAGCCAATCCTTGGCGACAGCAGAGACGGGAGAGACATGTTTTCGAGAGCAAGGTCCGGCTCAGAAATCTTGGCCATCATTGAGGACAGCAGAGACGGGAGAGACATGTTTTCGGGAGCAAGGTCCGGCTCGGTTGAGAAATCTTTGCCAATCATTGAGGGACAGGAGAGACAGGAGAGACGCCTTTTTATGAGCAAGGCCCGGCTCGGTTGAGAAATATTTGACAGTCATTGAGGGACAGGAGAGACAGGAGAGACACGTTTTCGGGAGCAAGGTCCGGCTCGAAAATCCTGGCCAATCATCTGGGACAGCAGAGACGGGAGAGACATGTTTTTGGGAGCAAGGCCCGGCTCGGTTGAGAAATATTTGCCAATCATTGACCGGACAGGAGAGACAGGAGAGACATGTTTTCGGGAGCAAGGTCCGGCTCGGAAATCCTGGCCAATCATTGAGGACAGCAGAGACGGGAGAGACATGTTTTTGGAGGCAAGGTCCAGCTCAGAAATCCTGGCCAATCATTGGGGACACAAAAGACGGGAGAGACATGTTTCTAGAGGCAAGGTCTGGCTCAAAAATCCTGGCCAATCATTGGGGACACGAAAGACGGGAGAGACATGTTTTTGGGTGCAAGGTCCGGCTCAGAAATCTCACTCATGATGCATACTAAATTCGGGGGGCAGACGTGATCCGGCTCCACAATGCAGTGAACTCATACTTACGGGCAAAGGATGACCTCAATAAGGTCAAGGAGGCGCGATGTGGGAGCAATCATACTGAGCTGGACAGCCGTTTCGTTTCCCCTCAATCGAGAAAAATGCCGGAAGCCAACCATAGAATATGCTGCCGCTGCAGCAAAAGGAGAGAGAGAGACATGTTTTTTGGGGTGGTTTCTCGGTAGCTTAACAAACGACGGAGGAACGAAAACGATATTGCAATATGGAGCATGTGCACGCTGCATGTCGAACAAATGCACAGATGTGCGATCGGCGACGTCATGATATGGACATGCTTCTGTTTTCGTTGAATACACAAATATGTACACGAGATTTCACGAGTCCTTGAACATATGGGACCTTTGAGAAGCTGACTAGACTCCTATCTATGCCGGGTGACTACCGGGCGCGACCGGCAGTGGCTGCTTCAGGGCCAGGCCCCGGTATCCGCGCTCCGTGACACCAACTATCGTGCCGAGTCCCAGGACGTTCGTCTTCGCCGGTCCTCGGAACTGAGCTCTGCTGGCCATCAGTTCCTTGAACTTCTTCGTCCCCACGAAGTCGAACGTGTAAGCCGCGGGCTGCCCGTCCACCAGGCGTGCCCTGTTGTTGTACGCCTGCATCCCCGCGACGGTCGGCATGAACAGGTTCGGCCCGAAGTCGCAGCTCCACTCCAGGAAGGCCGCGAAGGGGTCGTTGTCGACCTGGTAGGCATCCAATGCTGCGATGCTGCGCGCGGGCATGGGGAGCAGCTGCTCCCCGTTCGCGTACCATCGGACGGCGCCCTGTACGAGCCAGACCAGAAACTGCTCCATGTGCGGAGCGTCGCTCAGCCGCGCGATGAGCTTGGTGTCTACGACCCCATGGAGGGGGTTTGTCGAGTCGTAGCCAACCTCGTTGACGGAGAAGTAGCGCTTTGGAAAGCAGACCAGCTGGAGCCGCCTCCGGAGGGCGATCGACCAAGCCTTCTCAGTCTGTGGAAGGTGGTTCGTACGGAGGATGAGCTGCAGAGGGAGTGGAGGAAGATGAGATCAAACTCGAAAGCGAGAGCTTTTGTTTGCATGCAGTAAAATGATCGAGTACACATACGCCTTTTCTTCGCATGCGTTGCTCTCATCCCTCGGGGCTTTGGGGTATTCAGTGTCAGAAAGTTCAAGAGAAAGCAAGTCGATCCTCGGGTGCCTCACCAGCATCGTCGCATTGAATGTGACAAAGTCCTTGAACAGGGGCCGCCCCGTGACCACCTCCGTGCCCGTTAGTTTTTTGACCCCTCCCTCGTTGAGTGTGTCGGTGACGTTCGTCTCTTCGACGCCCGCCATCAGAATACCCTTCAGCCCTGCAGCACATTGAGGGGGCTTTGCCTCGCAGACTTTCAACAAGAGAGTCTTGGTCTCGCAGCTATGATGCACCTTCAAACGGCAGGGAAAAAGACAGGAGAGACAGGAGGGACGGGTTTTTTGTACTCGGCCCCGGTCGCTCACACCCAGAATCTCTAAGGGATGAGCTTCCTCCCCTGCTTCCAAGGGGGATGCCGCGCCCTTCGCGGCCGCCCTCTGTCCCCTCGCGCTCACGATGATGTCCTTGTTCATGTCCTTGTAGAACCTCCCGAGGAGCAGCCTCAGCAGAGCCATGAGAACGCTCTTGCCTGCACTACCCTCCCCGTACAAGATTCCCAATACCTGCAGATGATTCGTCAAGTGAGTGGTGGGATGAGACGAGGAGACTCACTAATATGAATTGTTTTTGAATGAAACCATAATAGGTGTTACTCTCCAAGCGGTACCCCTAAGGCACTGCAAATGATCCAGCGTTTTTTGCTTGTCGTCGCCGAGTGCTGATGGGAGCGTCATCACGTGGAACGAGGAGACACTTCGGTGAGACTCCCTAGTAGAATTGTTTTTGAATGAAACCATAATAGGTGAACCCCTCCAAGACGTACCTGGCTGCTAGTATGCCCTGTCAGGTCGTACCCGAGGAAGCACTGCAGGTGATCCATCGCGAGTTGGCCGTCGAGCGCCTCAGCATGCATGATGTCCCGCAGCACACGAAGGATGTCGTCCAGCGGGGTGGCGAGCCCCGTCAAGGGGTAAGCCCAGCTCATGTACTTGCTGTGCAAGAACTGCAGGAAAAACGAAGAGAACCGATGAGAAGGAGGGCCTTTACCGACGAGCGCTCCAGACAGACTGCGGCAGAGCGAAGGAGGTTGCGACCAGAAACACGTAGAGAGTTCGAGCAAAAATGGCAAGACGATTCGTCGCGCTCACCCGCGGGTGATGGGGCTAAAAACCCCCGGTCTTGAGGTCGATGACCCCGTTCTGAGCGGCCCTGAAGTCCCGGTTGAAGTCCAGCTTCCCCTCGAAGCCCGCGTTGAAGAACATGTCCTTGCAGGTGGTGAGGACGTTCGACATCTTCGCGTTGAAGTTGAAGTTGACGATCTTAGGCTCTTTCTTCTTGCCGTTCCTTTCGGTACCGGCGGTACCCGAGTCCGTCAGGCTCTCGTCGTCGCTCTCCATCGATGCCTCGTCCGACCGCGCCTCGAGGTTCGATCCTCGTTCGGCCAGGTAGCCCTTCTCTACTTTGACCAGCTCCTCGCGCATGATTCGTAGGATGTGGCTGCCGCCCTCGTCGGCGACCCAGATGATCCCGTTCCAGTAGAACCACCCGTTTGGAGTGAAGACGAACTTGAGCCCCTTCCTGAGGTAGATGCGCTCGATGATGGTCGCCCCGCCCACATCACCTGCAAGACGGTGTGGAGAAAAAGCACATGAGACCCTCCTCTAAAAACGTGTCTCTCCCGTCTCTCGT